GTGACAGCTCACAAATGTGCCAAGCGGCACTGGACAGATTAGCACTAGCTGTCCGTCACTTCGGGCGTTGCTTCGCACCCTCGAAGTGCAAAGCGTTCCTCTGGACCGCCTCCTACGCTGACCGTTGGTGGGGATCAGCTAGAGGTCGTTCAAAAATTCAACTACCTGGGAAGTTGTATCAGCGCCCGTGGGATTGAAGATGAGATCACGAATCGTATAGCAAAAGCTCGGGGCACTTTTGCTAACCTTCGCCACTTATGACGCCGGCGCGACATCACTCTTGCCCTGAAGGGTAGAGTGTACAATGCAGCGGTACGTTCGATCCTACTGTATGGTTGTGAAACCTGGCCGCATAAAGCAGCGGACCTGAAGAGGCTAGTTACGTTCGACCACCGGTGCCTTCGTACTTTAGCTCACATCTGGTGGGAACACCGCGTGAGCAACGAGCGTATCCGACGCCTTGTTTATGGCACATGAAAAGGAACTGAATCGCTCAGTACCGTTATTTCACGCACCAGGCTCCGATGGCTCGGCCACGTGTTACGCATGCCAGCCCACCGACTTCCGCAACGTGCGTGTGGATGGAAGAAGAGGAGGGGTGACCAAGCGATGACTTGGTCCAGAGGAATGAAGGCCTTCACTTCTGAGCTGGCCTCGGTTGGAGCGTCTCGGCCCCCTGGTTGGGGTCCGAAAGACGATGAACACGTTTGGTTGGACACACTTGCTGATATGGCTAGGAGCCGACCTCAGTGGCGTTTGTGCTGTGAGTTTCTTTGGTCCACCCCATCCCTCTAACCTCCCCCTCCAACTACGATCTCATTATTTAACCCTATATAATTTTGCATAGTAATTCTTTGATGCATAGTAGCCAGCTGGTAGCTTACTGGAACGATGCCCATCTGTAACGGTAGCTCAGCCGGCTTGCCCCAGTTGTATTCTTTTCTCTCTCTCCTTTTTTCTGTGTATTGCGGCACAGTAGCTGAGGTGTTCCCCACCTCTAGCTGACGTGTATGATGATGATGATGAGCTCCTCGTTATCAAGGGTCAAGGGGTCATCAAGTGGCTGGTTGTCGTGCGGCAACACTTTGCACTTTGAAGGTGCGAAGTTCATACCAAATAATGGGACCACTCTGGACAAGCTATTCAGGGTTGATTGTGCCGCCGCAACATCGTGTAAAAGCAAGACGATATCGTCCGCATAACCAAGCTTAACTAACCTTTCACCAAGCAGGACCTCTTCATCATGAGAATCTTCAAGTGAACAATCTATGATCGAGGTCACAACGACATTGAAGGAAAATGGGGAAATTGGTCAACGATGACGAAACGCCACTTGTGGTCGGAAACTTATCCGACAGGTCACCGTAGACTCTGATGCTGTTTGTAGTGTTCGTGTATGAAGCATGTAAGATTTTCACCTTTTTCGTGAAAACAACTATCCACACAAGTATTTCGAACAAAATGCATCGATCTACTGAATTGAACGCACACTAAAACTGGTGGAACACAGCTATTGTCGGTATGCAGTATGTGAGTCGCTGTTCTAGCACCTGCCGCAAAGTGAATATGTGGTCCATACAGCCTCGTCCTGGGCGGAAACTTGTCTGCTCTTCTCTAATCGGTGAATCCCGTTCCACAGTAAGGCGACGAACGAGAATGGAGGCCAGTACTTTCGTCACCACTGGCGTTACGCTAATACCCCTATGTTCAGCACAGTCTGTGCTACTGCCCTCTCTTGTATATTACCACTATGATCCATTCACTCCAGTTTGCTGGAACATTCTTCCCGTACAGTTGTGTTCGACTACGGAGGTCCGTGCATTGCGTAGGACATTTACATCCTTAACGAATGCAGTTGTGATGGAATCCGGGTCAGCAGGACGAAGACTACTGGGGACTGATCGCGTTTCGACCTTCGGCCTCCGACGGAGGCTCTAAGCTAACCGTCCATGGCTCGTCCTGCATCACCTGAGTAGGAAAAGATTTGGAAGCAGTGGGCCAACTGAACCGATCTTGAAAGTGTTTCACTCAGCCAGCCATACGGCGCTCCTTATCGTGAATCAGAGTGTCTACGCTGTCTTTGCTTGTCTCATTGACGCCTGATTTCCTGGGAGCAGTGGTGCGAATCAACTGGAAAAGCTTGCGGTAATTGTCTTCTGCTCCTGCATCCTCCATTTCTTAAGCCCGACTGATCCACCACGCTTCCTTGTTAGCGCACAGGCTCCACTGTAGTTTGCGGCTAATAGTCCGTCTGGTCAAATGGTGCTGACAGCCAGACTGGATGTTTCTTCTGGATTCCAACAAGTTCACCGACCTTTCGGACATTCAGTAACTGGTGCAGTGACGATTGTTAGTGGTCCAAGCAGATGCTCCTACGCCGCGTATGGCGGCCGCGATGCTCTTCCACAGAAACTCAGTGTCATTAGGACAAGAGAGTGAAAATTGGGTTCGCAGTGCGTCTTGATAAGTATGTCTGACCGAGTGCTGAGATAATTTCTCAATTGCCAATTGACTGAGACACTTTATGCGCCTCCCAGCAAACTACAAGGAGAAACGACGGCGTACCGATGCATGACCAGAGTCAACGCAGGTGCTCCAGTATGAGTGGTAATCCAGAATTTAACCACGCCACCTGTACCTTATGGCATTTTGATCAATTTGGGTCCATCGCTACAGGTGGAGCTACAGGAGGACACCAAGTGGCACTTTTGCGCCCGCAGTGTCTAAAGGCAGTGATACTAATAAACAAATGGTGTTCTTCACACACATTTGTAGCAGTCGCTCGTCGTTGTCCGTCGATGCGGAGATAAGCCCATAATTACCACCAGCTGAGGTTCTGAAGGGCCCAGGCGACCTACTTGTGCATTCATATCCCCATACAAGTACTATAGTATCCGAACTAGTAGCACCGCATAGTACCGCCAAGGTGTCCTTGGCAACATTATAACTACAGTCCGTGGAAATGTACGCGGAAATCACAAACAAACAGCGTTCTGTACTACTTCTTAACTCCACTTTGTTTAATGTTGTCTAACGGACTGCACATGAACGGTTATTTACCGTAATCCAATCAACCATCGATGGCTCAGCCTTGATGTTTAGAATGATCCCTACCCCAGCCTGACGTGTAAGTGTTGCGTCGATGTCTCCGGATGCGTACTACCAATAGCAAGAGGACAAGCTGGGTGCAGTTAATTCAACTATTTCATGAGAGTGATTGATCCTAGGTTCGGATACGCAACACACGTGAATACCCAGCGTGTCTAACATGCATGCGAGTGTATCCTGTTGACCTAGTTGTCTTAGAATGCGAACGTTAAACCCCGCCAGTGAAACGGGACAGCGTGGCCTTATAAGGGACCGTTGCCGATAGGCATCCATTGGGTAGGCGGGATGGTGGCTACAGTTGATTCGACTCCAGTGGCATTATCTCTCCTATCATTTAAGCTGTGAATTATAAACGGGTCAATAATGGGGATCAGGATGGGAGTAAGAGAGACAGGTGGTACAGAAAAAGGCCGGCGCCAGCAGTATCATGCTTTCGCTTATCTGCCCTGCTGTAAGCAGCAGATAAAGCGACGCTTCATAATCTGCGCGACGGCGGATGCAGGATAAAGTTTATGTTTGAAGAAAACTTCATGGTTGTGTCTGGGTTGACATACTACTAGGGCGCCCAGGCCTCGACAAAAGGACGATGCGAGTCCTTAACCAAAGCCTTTGGCATAAAAGCCTGTCCGCAAGGCGTCGGGGAGGTGGCAGTGATTTAGTTTTACAGAAATTGGCACCATCCCATTTTCAAACCTTAATCCTAGTGGACCAGGAGACTGAGTTTGTCTGCTCTCTAACCATTCACCAACCTAGTAGGAGTAGCTCTCAAGGGGCCCGGAGGCACTACCCAGTATTGCTCAGTAGGTCTAGGAGGTATGCAAACAATCGGCCTACGTTAAGGTCCACTCTCGTTGCTACTGTATCCAGTTTCGTTGCCGCGGTATCCATTATCTGCGACGGGCGTATGGCCGCAGCGGAAGAAATTGCCAATGTTCAGTCTACTGCATGGCGACTAACGTAAAAGCGCTATATCCTAATTTAGCTGTCGTCTGTCTTTTACGTCTTCCGGGCTGGGAACCCAAGGATGGTGCACACACTTGGATGAATACCCTGAAGGACGTGGCGCGGAATCGAGTTCAGCGGGTGCTTTGTATGGATTTATGCATTGATTTTACTGATCAGCATCGCAATCCCTAAAGTATCAAAATGTTTGCATAGTATGTGGAAAACACAAAAAATCATTATCCCTTTCCCATGGTTTTCGACGGCTCTGTAATGAGGCATCTATTTTATCTAGCTGGAGTTAACACACACCATGTATGCCCACCGGCTGTCCATGGTTTAACGCCATAACATTGTTAGTAAAAGAGTGCCGGTTCATTGAATCTGTGATACTATTCATCTACATGATATCTCACACCCGAATATTCCCCTCTCCTAGGTACATAGAGCGCACTTTCATCTTCATTTGACGTCAAGTTTACCCCGTACGTCGTGCTCTATCCAAACCTTGAGCGATAAACAAATTGGGGGTTTTGCGTTGGACCTGGGTGGACATCATACTGAGTTGAGAAAACCTGTGCAATACTCTCCGGGTACTTATGTCGTCTGGTATATGCTCCATCGCATACCCTCATCAGACGCCGCGTGGCACTACTTCGTGACTGTACCATCCTACCGAGGCAGCTTGAGCTAATTCCTCAGTAATAATGGGGACAACTGAAGGGTTAGCCAGCCTTTCTCTTAAGTATTTGACGCGTTTGGATGATTTGCTCTAAGTATGCTGATGTGCTTGTTAATTGTACTTTTCGTCACGACACGAGCATTCTTCTTGAACCCGGGACATTGGTTACCGATGTTGTTCAATAATTCAAGGAAATACATTACATATTATCACGAATTCATCATCTTTTTACATATGTTCCGCATCCTTGTTCTGTTTTCTTTTTTCAGTACGTACCTCGAAAATGTCTGGTGTTCTGTCAAGATGTCGTTTTTTACCCGTTTATTTACGTCGGGCACTCAGTTCTTCCATCCAATCACAGCCCTCGCACGAAGCATCTCTGAAGCACCAGCCTTTGCTTGATGATTCTTGGAAGACAGCGCAACCCGCTGGATCGACCCTGTTTCCAGAATGTGAACTCTTCAATCCTTTTGTCAAACCTGAACCACGCCACCAGTGGGATGCAATACAGCACAGTCTGCGCTGTCGTGGTATTTCAATTCCTTTCGATCTTCATCAATTAGTAGGCCGCATTTTGTGTATTTGAACGGTATTTTTATGACATTTCTCGCTTAATCGCTTATTTGATCATCAACACTACGCTCCCACTACTTTGCAAGTCATCAACTTGTTCACACGAGCTGCACTCTGTTTGTGTATCAATGACCAAAACTACGGGGTTTTCACTTTGCCTTCTGAATAATACTTTCTTTGGTAGCATCCACTTGGATATGAGATCGCCATGGCATACTTTGGATTTAGGTAGCAGGCCATACAGCTTCATTGTCGTTACGATGCGGACCACATTTAGATGGAGACGACCACGTTGATGTGGTCTCGTCTGACTTTGGATAGGCGTTTTTCTTCAACCACTTGTGAAGGTCTGTGGGCCAAGCGAAGGGTCAAAGTTCATTTGCGCCACCCTACTCGCACTGCGAACAGTTGGTGCGGGTTCTATATTCAACTGAGTAAATGCTGTAACGAACCTATTTCTGGGGTTCCCAAAATTTCGTTATTTTTCTATTCTATTAGGTTTTATGCATTAACAGTAGGTTGTAGATTGGAATGTGTGTAGGCCAGTTGTTACGTAGTCGCTGCGAATGAATAAGTAGGGTGAGATGTAGTCCCGTAACGCTGTATTTACGAATTATTGCTTAAGACGATTGGTTCACCTTGGAGGGAGATACTGCAACGATCAGCATGTTTGTGTTATTAGATGAAATGTACCGCTGCTCCACCCTCTAAAGATTTACACATTAATACCGTGCGGAGAATAATAATCTGTCCTCTGCGCGGGTTGTGGCTTCTAGTCCCACTAGATGTGTAGAAAATCTACACTTCTGTGACTGTTCTCCAAAGGACAAAACACTCGTTTGGCCCGATTTTCGGATGTGTGTTGGCAAGGGGACTGACTTCGGTTGTGAGACATCTAATTTATGCAACCGAAATCTCATCTACAACTTTCTGGTAAATTAAAATTACAGAGTATGAGAGTTGAGGACGAATTTGTTTTATCGCCGGTCAACTTCGAATCAACACTCATTACCACCCGTATCTCTCTTTAGAGCTAACCAACTTCTTGTACATTGCATCATTGTCTTCAGTGTTCTATAGACAACCCCCATCTATTGTTCATGTGGCAAAACAGACAGTGTTTGTGCTCATCCGTTTTTTTTCAAAAGAATTATTAGTTTTTTGATAAGCGATCAGTCCGATAACATCCGATGGAAACCTACAGAAGTTTCTATTGCATGCCAGGTGGCGTCTCTATCTACTTGCAGATTGATTGAACCTACGTGGCGCTAGTAATTCGGTCAGATGACCGAGCTGTTCTAGCGATCAATAGCTCCCGGTATGACGCATCAATGCAGATAGGATTTCAGCACAATTGTAATTCGTTTTTTGTGGCTACACTTGTGACGGCGTGCTTTTGTCAAATTCTGGCTCCCGATTTGCCTTAGACTTATAAGTTCACTCGACACGAGATAGCTTTTAATCGAACTGGCATGCGACTCAAGAGATCTGATCTAAATATTGTTCTCATGTTGGCTGACATGCATACCGAACGCTTAGGAGACATTTTCTGAGTTAAAATCTCCCGGACTGACAATGGCGGTCGCTTTCTCCAATGCGGTACCGACCTAATAGCTCCACAATCCTTCTTCGACTAGAATCCACTGTATACTCACTTTTTCGAATATCTTATGTATTCCTTGCGAATGCCTGTGCCTCTGTCTTCAGTCTGATTTCAAATCCACCCTGGATTCAATCGCCCGAAAAATTTCCGTCCTCGATTCTGAACGCCGTGCAATTCACACCTCGTTTCACGGCAACGAGGTAAGTTTTCTCTTTGGGACGTGCGTATTACCTTATCAATGTCTTTTTGTTCGCTCCTTTGGATACGAAAGAGTTCCTTTTTATGTTCTCTTATGTATTTTATTGTAAACTACAGTGTGTACGGTTTGTTTCCCTCGAGCTTACTTCATGGCGTGGGTCCCTGACTGCTCTTGAGTAACGGAAATGTCACTAATACAGTCCAACCTGCTATGGCGGCCACCTGTCTATGGCGACCAACCAAAGACATCCCCAACGTCTTCTCCTACGAATTACGCCCTTATGCCTGAACCTATCCATGGCGACCACTGTTTGTCCGTCCCTTGAGTGGTCGCCTTAGACAAGTTTGATTGCATTTAGTCACCCATTTATCGTTGGAATGATCGTCTCTACTGGTCGATTCCGAATACAGAATGCTGAAGGACGAGAAGCTATAAATCTGTGTTGCTCCGTCGTAATTAGATCGCGCACTTGCACGAAATCACGTCGTTGAGCTTGCACGGTGGCAGCGTATTTCGGCTGCACTACATCTTATCCGAGTGCGATACGCAAAATGGGCGTGTAGGAATCTCTTACATTTCGACACTGGTGTCTCCTGCAACTTTTTCCAATATTTCACCACTCGAAGCATCGAAGGTGAGCGATACCCTACAAATCTGGTCCCACCAGTTTGTACTGTCGTCCGCGTGTCCTGCTTGGTACGTGAACATGCAGTAGCGGCCACAACGTAGGGAAGTGGCCCAGGTGCAATATCTGACGCTTTATAATTTGATCAACTCGAAGTCGACGATTTGGCAGGATATGAAGCGCTAATCTCCTACATCGGTTCTCGTACGGCATACTCCGTAAACTGGGGATGAGCCGGGTAACTACATGCTGAACCCGTTCCAGTCTCTGCACCTCGCATATTGTGCTCGGACAATATGCGGGTGATCCGTACTCAAACACCGGTCTTAACATGGAAGAGAACAAGCGAGTGGCAACCTCTTCAGACCAAGTGCAGGAGCTGTGTGTGAGTGCCAAATGCAGGCGTAGTCTTTTTCCTTACAATCTGTTCGTGTTGTCGACGGACTTCAGGTCACAGCGTGAGTACACTTAGATCCTTTACGGGGCCTTTGGGTTGAAGCGGTTGGCCGGCTATGGTATACGTACTTCTTTGCAGGATTCACGTAACTCATCGTAGCTTTGTCCCAAATACCTAGCTGGAACTTGATGCAGTTCTGGTATAAGAGGCCGCCGAAGTGATCCGGCTGTGCGTATTGTCGTGGGTCGATATGACAGATGGTCGTACCCGGCCCAAACATGTGGCTATATGCAGCAAATGCGTTGCTTGCAATATTATTTTGGCCTATTTAATAATTTGGTATAATTTTGGAATGGACCGGGAATTCATGATTTTAGAGGATTCTAAGGCACATGTCTGTTTTGTAAGGTCAGTGACAAGCAGTCAATGGTATTACCGAAGTATATGCTCCTCTTGGCTGTGGTGACCTCGGTGGGTCGTAAATGCAGCCTATGTGATGTTAGGTCGGACCAAAGTCAAATGCGCACAGAAACGAAACAAATTGACTTGTTCGGGAAGGTAAGTGCGCAATTTCCGCAAGTAACCTTGTATCTGAACAGTCTCAGTTACAAGCAGAGTAGAGTTTTTCTGTGTGGCAGAACATTTGTCACAATCGCTTGTTTCATACCACTCACATGTCCCGTGATTCATTGAGATCGACAAATTCAAGTTAACACTCAGCCGTGATTTGAACTGTAATCAGAGTGTTTTTCATACCCACGTCGGCCCTTGCAGTGTTTCGCAAATACACTTCATGTCCGGTGCGTTGTCTTTTGACTCGCGTGGCGCAAAGTAAGAAGCTGCTAAGTCGAACCCTGGGGACGCAACAGATTCTGGCGACAGAGGTGTTGCATAAAAATGTCCATTTCATTTGAGCAGATGCAGCAGTTCCTCCACCAACAACAGCTCCAGTTCGAGAAATCCCAGAGGCAGTTGTTCGATCTATTTACGCGGAAGTTGAACGTTCAATCTGAGCCCCAAACTGCTGGCACTGGTCTTCAGTAGACGCAGTCACGGCATCAATCACAGAGTTCGTTTTCGGTGAATCAAACGGAGTATCTTTTGATTCCTGATTCAAAAATATAAAGATATTTTCCGGGTTGAGTTGGCGACGCAAGATGATGCATGGGAAGTTCGGTTGTTGCTGCGTAAACTTGATGCAGTTGAGCATGAACGCTATACCAATTTTGTGTTGCCAAAGAATCCAAGAGATTTCCGCTTCGATGAGACTGTGCAAATTCTGACGTCCATTTTCGGTGAGCAAGCATTTTTGTTCAATATCCGTTATAATTGTTTAAAATTGTCCAAACGTGATAACCATGCTTTTATAACACATGTTGGAGTTGTGAACCGAGAGTGTGAACGTTTTAAACTCGGTACGATGACACCTGATCAGTTCAAAAGTCTCATATTTGTTTGCAGTCTTCAATCTCATGCCGATGCTGATGTGCGCAGACACACCCTACACAACTTAGAGCAGGAACCCCATTTGACATTACAGGACATTGCTGCTGAATGCCAGAGACTGATTAACTTAAAGCATGATACCAAAATGATTGAAAATGCTTACCCCAGGAGTGAACCACAGATTGACCGCACGACCGTTCGAGGTAAAAATGTGAGCCATAGATTACCCAACCAGAAACCCCAGACCGCATGCTGGAACTGTGGTGGATGGCATTTTGTGCAATTCTGTACTTACAAGAAACATCTTTGTCAGAAATGCAAACGTCTGGGTCACAAAGAATCCCACTGTCGCAAAACGTACGTTTCCAGGCCTGTGTCTACCCCACACTTATACACGAACTCTAAATTCCGAAAGACGTCGCTTCAGGGAGCAAAGACAAAATTAGTTCTCACGACCTGTCACAGAATTTGCGGACAAACGAAAGTACATCACCGTCAAAATTAACGGTGTTCCCATCGCATTGCAAATAGATACAGCATCGGACATTACCATCATTTCTCGATCAACATGGACGAGACTTGGCAAACCTCCACTGAGACGCACCAATCTGACTGCCCGAAATGCATCCGGCGAACCACTGAGGTTAGATGGTGAGTTCACATGTGACATTAAATTCAAAGATCTGAGCCTCCGTGGAACCATCTACTTAGCTTCTTGTGTCAACATTAATCTTCTTGGCATGGATTGGATTGATAGATTGAATTTGCTCAATGTATGCATGACCTCGTACGAAATCGGATATGGAAAGCCATTACAACAGGCGGTACCGAGCACGGCGCAGAAAGTTCAGAGTTGGAAACGCAGTGTTTGCTGCCTCTCATCAAGGGCATCGAATAAGCTGGATACCATGTCAAGTCGTGGGACGACGTGGCAAAGTAATGTACCATGTTCGCGTTGGTAGGCAAGTATGGGTTCATCACACCAACCAACTGCGACCGTAGTTTGTAAGGATACCAGAGACACGCGACCCCAAAGGATTTGATTTCCATGAATCGTTATGCACTTTGCACCCAAGCACCTCGACTGGACAGGATACGCAACTCGTGGAACGAACTGGAAATGAACACTGACTAAAGCCACAACGGGTAAGAACATGCGTGCAACCCGTTCATGTCGATCCCCGAAGGAAAAGCTATACAACTACCGGTCTAACTATTCCAACAAGGGGGAGGTGTTAGGTCGGACCAAAGTCAAATGCGCGCGGAAACGAAACAAATTGACTTGTTCGAGAAGGTCAACGGACTTTGTGCGAAAATATCTTTTCAGCTTCGTATGTCATAGCACTGAACGTCAATTGTAGAAGACCATCCCAAGTGGGTATCTTTCTCTGCAACATTTCCGTTTTCCGTAATGCTCTATAAATACCAGAGTTCCTTTTTGAATATTTGCTCCGCGTATTCTGAAATATATTCCTTTCTGAGATTGCAGACAGACTGGACAGATGGAAATGTTGGAAACCAGTGTATGATCTAGAGAATCACATCATGTCATGAATGCGATTTATGCACCCATGAAGAGTGAATATTCAGCTCTAGGACACACATGGATAAATAATGAAGATGAATACTACATGAACATATAAATAAAGCCAAAGTCGTTGAAAATAATTGACAGTGCTACTATTACCGGAGTAATTTACAGGCCAGTTCTTGAAGGACTGAATTCTTTTCGTTCAGCAAATGTAACAAGCAAGGAACTGTCAATGTACCATAGGCATTTGTGAGAGTATATATAGTGTTGTGTCTCTGTCTGACGTGCCCCATACTGTGGCTGATGATGCATTCATGATGCTTCTTCACCGCAGTTGGGCTAAACCAACTTACATTTAAACTAGGTCTCTTTTTAAGCTGGATAAATTTCATTCCACTTCATTTGATTTGTTCTGCCTACCGGAATAATCTTCCATCAAATTTCCACGTTGCTTGCGGTAATTGTGCTTATCTTCACTAACTTTATTGCGTTTCTAACATTTTCTGAGTCACTTCTGGATATCTTTTACTTATCGCGGATTCGTCGCTAACCAACAAATGCTACTTTAGGGAAGAGTTATGTCTGCATAGCCGTATTCTTTAACAGATAAATTTTATTTGTTACTGTCATTTCAAGTGATTGGCTGTTGTTTGACATCCCCGGTGTGGCTGCGCTTGATGTGCATGTTGACAAGGTGTCTACCTGTCTATTACTCACTACCTCGTCCATACTGTCTCTAGGAGATAGTTGGTCGTTGCTGGAGGTGACGGGGTGCACGGTCCTTGTGGTCTTGCTAGGCTCGAAGTGTGGTTCCATGCACTCAGTGTGGAGCGGACTACTGTCCAGCCACCGCCTTGTGTGCGCTTGTTCCCCCAAATACAGTGTGCTTGTGTTTGCCTGTGAAGGAGTGTGGGCCGGCTCCGTTGATGAAACTTGGCTCCCATTCACATGCTTCCCGGTCTTATTCCTTCGGGTTTACACTGGATATGGGGTGTGTGGATG